CAGCTGATACATTATTTTATTTATTATTATTTGTGTAAAATCCTAACTGAAAATATTTCGTTGCACACCAAGGCGATTGATGCAGTTTGTTAAACTACTAGCTGAGTTCGGTTGCTTGAGTTGAGCATTGCTATTGTGTTTGGCGCTTCTTTCGATTGCAACCCGCTGTCAGCTTGTGTGCCGTGCATTTTGCGTTACCCCAGCTAGCAGTGTCCACGGTATCGTTTTTCATAGCTAGGCAAACAGGAAGCCGTTTGCTTTACAAATAATGTTTCCCTGCAATCCGATCTGACTTCTGGAATCGCTATCTGGGCCCATGCTAAACGCTACTAGCAAATTGGTGACCCCGAGCTGAGAACAACCCCAACGCCGGATATTTCGAATGCTACTCCGGTGAGCAACTCCCATATATGTTTCCAACATTCTGGTTTATTTTCGCATATGGTAATATGTGTTGGTATACATTTTTCTAACCATCGATTATGTAGAATATAACTTAGACTCTGCCGTTAGCGTTGTATCTATCGCTGCCTCATCCCTTTGGGAAATGGATCCCTTTTGTTGTTTGCTTATTTAGAGGCAGAATTTTATGTCCACGTAGTTAGCACGGCCTACGCTAAATACTGCAACTCAAGTTCTTTCCCCCAAAGAGACATTGATGCAGCCGACGTTGGTGCAGGAAGTTGTCTATCCAACGCAGGGTCGGGTCACCAATACCATGGCTCTGAAGTTTATGAGGCAGAATTCAGTAGTCTGTGATCAAACGCTTTTGAGAATTCCAGATAAATGAAATTTACTCCTGCTTTATTATCAAATGCTTCAGTCCAGCTATTGCGTGCAAATTACAGGTTCGTGGTGTATGAGCGGTTTTGCTTGAAGCCATGTTGCTCCGTGGCTAGTATGTTGTGGTTTTTTAGCTGCTGCATCAGTGCATCCGCGATGATTGATGCCCTATGATACGAAAGCACATGAGGCAGCGTTATCGGACGGTAATTGGTTGGATCAGTGTGGCTACTCCTTATGAATAGAAGGATCCCTCGGCTCCATATTGTGGGAATTTGGTTCTCCTCTAGACAGTGCTGATAGAAAATAGACAGAGGCTCCGCCAGATCACTGGCTGCTGTTCTTGGAGCCTTCGGTCGAATGTTATCGACACCAAAAGAGCTGTGGATACGCAGGGACAACAGCTTCCTTTAACACAGCTTCTGTAGTAAAAGTGGAATTGGATAAAGCTGACGGTGGGACAATAGAAACAAGCGTAATCCTTGGGATCGTTAACCTCCGGAACCTATGTGAGTAATGGAACAGTAAGAGCTTGACTGCTTCCGTTGCTGATGTCATGCACTTATCCGTCGTGAACAGTGTTAAAATTCTGCGCTGCATCTTATGAAGGACACTAACATGCATGTATAAAAGCGTGCGGTTCACGCAGCATTCTTTCATTAACTCATGATGCTTCCTCACCTTGTTCTCGCGGAGCAATTGCACGCAAAATTTACGCTGTTACGTAAGCAGTCCATGTTTCGGGATCCGGGGAGTCCTTGTGAAGTCTCTATGCTAAATCCCTCAAGCACATAAATTTACAATTTCTCATCCTCAGAAGTAACTTGTTTTTCCTTTGATAATGGAAAGATTTCTTTTCCGATGCATTCGCTACCAGTGTGCTAAATGTCCTTGTGAATGTTATATATGTTCACTACAGTAACCAGATGTCCACACGTATGAGGTAAAGATGGCAAAACTGCTCGCTAGTTTAAAGAGTTCAGCTGAACTGAGTGAAAAGGTAGCGTTATAACGCGTCCTTGTTGTTTCGACTCCGTCGGAACGGACAAACGTTCTTCGGAGATAGCACCCACGCGCGCGCAGTAGCCGATCGAATTCGGAACGTTGCGGGCCAACGTGACCTAGCCACCAGACATACACGCGAGCTGAGACTGGAGAGGAGAAGCGCATAACCTAGCACTATTGCATTGATACCCAAAAAGAAAGACTGTCCGGCCCATGAGTTGTCTCCCAGAGGTAGTGACCTAAAGAAAAGTCAGTGTCAGTGTGATTGTACGGTAACCGTTGCATTGTGCTGTGGAGAATTCAGCGGGTTCACCGCAGCATGCACAGTACAGCATCCGGTGTGTCTGGATCTATCCGCGCAATTCAGCCATGACTAGTACCATACAACAACACACCTGCGCCCATATCGGAAATAGAAGCATCTGTAACTCGTGTCCGCTCATCCACTCGGTATGTTAGCATTGGGTAGAGCAAATTCCATGGCTTTGTGGGATTTTGTGTGCCCCCAAAAGTAGCCTCAGGCATGCGATCATTTTCTGCCCAACATAAATCGCCGACTGGATAGCCAGGCAAGCCTTACAGATACCGGTGTTTCCGATGTGGGCTTAAGTGCGTAGTTGTAAGCTTTTAATCATAGCTGAATTGCGAGGATAGATCCAGGTGTGTATTCAAAATTCACGATAGTAATCTCTTCTACTGACAATTAAGGAGTATTTGAAAAGCACGGTAAGAAGACGAAAATTGGTAGATGCATGCATTTCGTATTAAGGAGTAGCTTGGTTATTATAAAAATTCATCCGCCATACTTCATCAAGGTATTTTGTCCAACTGCAATCTGCCAACAGAATCTCATGATTCGACCGTTTTCAGATTTGCTTAATTCCTGTTACTAATTATTTCTGTTTAAAATTGTAAAGTTAAGGCATTTCGTATCTTCGTTACCTTTGTTTTACTGTGCCATAATTTTTGTTACGCGTTCGCATTGGTTACTGAGTGAACGCTCTGCCGATTTACTGCTGGCTTGTTACGTGCGACTCGTTTCGCTTATTCGTAAGTCTATTGTATTATATGGTTAAAACTACGATTACAGAAAAACGGTTTAACATAAAAATTCAATCTGCCCATTCAGCTTAGTTCTACCACCCAGACCGTGTGTTTGTCTTGTGACTCGCCCGCTTTCTGGCTTTGCAGTGGTAAAACAAGTTGAATAATTTGCGACTAGCTGATAAATAGTAGAATATAATGAAATCTGTGGCACTGAACTCTCACAGGATGACGATAGATCTTTTGAGTAGCTCTCTGTCGTCTTACGTAGAAGTGAAGAATTGGTACAACGCCTAGACTCAATTCGTTTGAGGAAAGAGAATGTAGCTTAACTGACGCCGTTACACTGGGTACTCTGTCAGAATATGATTCGTGTAAATGTGACTACACCAATTTTTCCGGTGCATATGCTGAGAAATGTTTTACACCCATCCGCCGTGAGGTGACTTTGGACCAGTTGGATGATGACGTGACTTGTTGCCGTTGTGCCACTGTTCAAAATCCGCCTTGAACTTGTGACAAGATTCTATGTTGTTGACAAGACTAGCCTGGCGGGGCACTTTATAACACTGGAACGATAGAGAACTTGTCCGGGTTACCTAAAAGAGTGATACTACGCTATGACCGTGATCCCTTGCATTCTTGGATGTTTATCCGTAGCTTCCAAGCCAAGGTGATGAATGCAACGACAAGTTCCGAGGTACGGCTGTCTTACATTATAAACTGCTATGAAGGGCAGACGAGGAAAGCAATCGAGTTGCGTGATATTAGAACCGGAGCAGGGAATCCGAGATGCACTAGAGACGTTAGATTCCAGGTACGGACGCCTACAACTGATAGTTTGAGCCCATCTCGATGTTTCAGTCAAAGGACCTCCTATAAGAGCCAGCGATTCGGAGGAGTTGCGTAGACCAGCTGTACAAATGAAGACCGGCTGCAATACGATACAACAACTGATTTACCAAGCTGATATGAACGCGACAGTGACAATAGCAGCAGTTGTCAGAAGACATCTTTATGACCAGCAGATTGAATGTTCCAAGAAGGTAGCCGGTGTTCTTCAAACATGTAGAGAGCCCAACGTCAAAGATTTGTATCATTTTGTTAGCGAGTGTACTAGTGTGTGTATTAGCGAGTGTGCCATCACCCAAGCAGTGTAAGTAGATGAGCTTGCGTATAGGCGTGAGAGTCCTCAGAGATTGAACCGCCCTGAGGCTCGGGGAAAGCGCATAAATAGCTTGGCACTAAAGGAACGGACGCAGCCGACTCACCGACGTCCACCTACATGTGTAGGATGTACGCAGACTCATTACTTGGATCAGTGCCTTTGTTTATCTCGACAAACAATGTTGAACTTTTGTCGCTGGGATCAGAGAAAGGTCTATGTTAATTATGCATAAAACCGAACCATCTATCAATCAACTGTAAATCCCGATTTGCTTGTGGATTAGGTGGTTGCCAGTTGAACCCCCATCCCCTACTGCACAATGCCCGGGTAGTACGAACACCTCCACATGCCGTTGTAAAGCAGGCGACAGCTTCTATAAATCAAGCAGCTTTGGGAGTAATACCCGAGAAACTACTTGGCAAAGACAAAGTTATGCTGACGAACGCTCTACTCGATTATGGCTCGGATACCTCGTTGATCAAAGAGCAACTCCTGCACCAGCTTCAGCTAAAAACCGAACCGTCGGTAGTTAGTATATCCACCATTAATGGGGAATCAAGCGCTTGCTGAGAAGCGGTGAAATTAGAGCTAATGCCCTTGCACGGAGGTGAATCCATTTTGGTGGACCAAGCCTGGTCTGTTCAGATGATGCCTCGAGTCAAACGCGTAATACCAGAGTCGAAATTTTTGCGATTAATAGAAAATAGAAATCAAGACATCAGTGTTTAATAGGTATGAAGGTCCCACATGCTCATTGGGGACGCGAGCAGCGCTATGGAAGAAATTTGAAACCGTTTGCAGTGCGGATTCCGTTGAGCTGCATCCTAATGGGAACTGATGGAGAATCAGACACACAGACAACCTGTGCAAACACTCTTTCTGTGGACGATCTTAACCCCTTTTCTCATACGAATGCATGAGATGGAGTATGATCCACCGTCCCAACAGAGGAACCCGATGTGCCGATTTCGCTAGATCTCTTCACCATACCTCTGCCTAGGTTCTTCTCTGAATACCGTCAGTTCGGCAGATGTGATTGACATCTCTCTCCGATCGGCGAACTTTGATGCACTAGAAATAACGCTACCTCTTTCAGTTGCTGATGAAGTGCATCATTCAATCGCTAACATCCCGAAAAGTGCAATCCAACCTCTGGAATCTGACCAGCCCGAAACAGAACCTTCTTCTGGTCTGTTGAACTTCAGGATGCGGATAAGCTCGAAGCCTTTCAACAGTGATGCTCCTAAAGATCCAAGTATTTTCAAGTCACCAAAAGACCTGAAACCGGAGGTGCCTCGCTCAATGTCAAAGCTGCAAGCCATGACGAGGCGCTCAAAACCATCACAACTTCCCGTTGGTGTGTCACCGTTCAAAATCGAAGTATCCATGACCGAAACAAAGACCAAGCTTTTTCTTCCTTCAAAAGAGAACGATCTCGGTGGCAACCTTTTGAGCGTTACGGAGGCGGCGAAGGCTATTGCTGCAGCTTTCCGGCTTACCTTACCCCAGTTCAATGTTTAGTTTAACCATCTAACAACAATGATGTTTAATTCTAGTAACTTTCAACAGTTGCTAAAGGATATCGTTACCACTGGTCAGGTGTCCTCCTCACTTTCATTGGATACGATAAGCACACGATCTGATATATCCTCTCTCCATAGTGCGGTTACTGCGTCCACCTTAGCATACTCAGTTTCTGTCACAGCGCATAGAACAACTTCAGGAGAAACAGTTCATATTCCTACTCTAATGAGTCTCAATGTTATTCCTGTCACAACGACTTGCTTGCATCAAATTTTTGCTTCTCTATTGCAGGACTCAGCTGCCATGGTTCGACATTCTACATTGAGCTTTTCTAACATGCAGCACTTCAATCCACAGAAGTTACTTTCCGCTCAGATGATAGCAACTCATTTGATTACTAACCCTGCGATTGCTGCTCAGCCTCACCATAACGATGATCAATCGAAATCGAGGGATGGCCTCAAGCGCTCCAGGGCACGGTCAACCAGATAAGCTAAGGGCTCCAGATCTTCCAGGTATTCCACCAGGGGCAGTGTTTCCTTAAGGATTTACAGCAATAACAGCTTAAATTTTCTTGCAGCAGAAGGCGAGTCGAAAGCACGGATTCTGTCATGGAATCAAAATGAAGTACAAAGTTTCCTAAGCGAGAGAAACTGTAAATGGATCTACAATCCACCTTACGGAAGTCACCGTAGATGTGTTTGGGTACGTTCAATCCTATTTGTACGAAGAGTACACCGAGTGTTACTGGGCGAACAGCTAATTGGTGACAAGGTACTGCAGACAACGATTGTGGAGATTGAACGGATCCTCAACCAGCGACCTAAGACTCCTAACCCCAGTCATCCCGTTGAATTCGGGATCATGACACCAAACCAGCTCTTAAGCTTAACTGCCCACAGGTCCCTGGAGACAGCTCGGATATGTAGCCTGAACAGACATACAAGACAGTGGCGACAAGTCCAGCAATTGTTAGATGAGTTTTGGAGAAGATGGCTGAAGTTTTGTTTATCTACATTGCAGGCACGGGAAAAATGGAACGAACGAAGAGGTAACTTAAAGTTTGACGATTTGGTTCCGGTGGCAGATTTACGCATCACAAGAGGTCTGTGACCGAAAGACATCGTGGAAAAAGCAAGATTGGGGCGCGTTGGGCTGGTTGGAGAAATTATCGTCCGCACTAACAAAGGAAGAATCCGGAGAGATGTGATAAAATCTGTCTACTGGAGGAGACATTGAACGTAGAAGCTACGGATGAGGCCGAAAACGCTGGCAGGAGTGTAAATTCCAAATTCACGATAGTGACTCCCACTACTGACAATTAATTATCAGAGTGAACCCGCCAAACTTCATCAAGGTATTTTGTCCAACTGCACTCTGCCAGAAGTATGTTATAATTTGACCGTTTTCAGATTTACTTAATTTCTGTTACTAATTATTTCCATTTAACATTGTAAAATTAAGGCATTTCGTGTCTTTGTTACCTTTGTTTTACTGCGCATTGTTTACTGAGGGAACGCCCTGTCGATTTACTGCTGGCTTGTCACGTGCGACTCGTTTCGCTTATTCGTAAGTCTATTGTATTGTTAATTGAGGCTCTTCGCAGCCAGGTTTCAGGTCAGATATTCGTCCACAGGCTCGGAATAGCACTAGACTGCAGTTACAGCCTGTTTGGCATCATCGTTATTGCGCACCCATCGGATCCATGAGGATTCGAACCCATGACCACCAGCGACTTGACCCGCCAGTCAGCAGCTTATGCTGGGCATATGGAGGACCATCTGATTTGAAAGCTGGCTGCGAAGAAGCTTATGTAACTACATGGAAATCCCCTACTCATAAGTTCATCAACGTATATCCGCCCTAACATTTCCTAAATTCCATGTCGTACATAGCTACCGTTAGTGAATGTCGTGTCTTTCGGGGGCCAACACTGTACTCTGAAACCTTCGTAACTTGCATGGCAGTGGAGGATAAAACGCGCTATATCGCAGTTAGCTTGTAAATCATGACGGTCCGAAGCTGTCCCCCCGTGGCCTAGGGCATATGCTGCTCACTGGTGGTGCAAACGGCATGTGCACGATCATCTGATTTGGAAGGTGGCTGCGACGACCCACAAAATCCCTTACACATGACTATTGTATTTTATTGTTAAAACTACGATTTTAGAACCACGGTTTAACATTAGAATTCAATCCGCCCACCGAGCTTAGTTCTACTGCCCAGACCGTGCGTTTGTCTAGTAACTCGGCCCACTTTCTGACTTCGCAGTAATAACACCAGACATATCGGATGCACCATAGACCGACACTACCATGCACGTAACTCCAGACACGTTCACACGTACAAGTCCCTATTGGTTCTTTCTACCTAGTCGTACTCATGCGCTCTCGTATACAACACTAGAGGCGCGGCTTACAAATTCAGGACATGAAATTACAATTGTATATTCCTTCAGTTTATTGATCTGATCTGACCTTACGTCCTACTGAAAGTTCATGGGAACAGTTGGAAACATCGTTTACAAACTACCTTGACCTAAAATATGCTGCTTCCAACTACACAGAATGCCAGGAACTGCAACTACCCAGACAACTACTCGGTGCAGAGCGACAACGTCAATTTGATACCTTGGAACTCCAATCTCAAAACGCCTTAACGAAGACAAGTAATGTACCGAATAAGTCATGGGACCAGTGTACAAATTTCTTCGTGGCTAGCCTCATATGTGGTCGACTTTTATAGAAATCATCGGAAGCTCTAGACACTTTTGTCAACCGCCTCATTCGTGGCGTAGGATCCTTCGAGTATCCAAGTGTTATCAGGCTGGCAGAGCCCTGCAAAACTCACCGGGTTTCTCAGGCGCCAGTGCACTGTGGGCCTGAACAAGACGGTCGCTATGCCGAGACCCAAACTATCCAGTTCAGAGCGGAGCTCTCCCTAAGAAAACTGCCGCCAGGGGTCCAGTTAACTACACAGATCACAACGGAGTTTTCCTCAGTGAGAACACGGCCAATGTATCTCGTACAGTTTCTACTGAACTCGCCCCAGTCTCACTATCGTATCTCGTAGACTCTCCTCAAGTCAGCCTCAGTCTGCTGGGCCGTATTTATGCTAATACCTTAGACAGCAAGCAATCTCACCAACTCTGATGAGCCCAACAGCATCGAACCCGCCCAATCTCTGCCCGGAGAAAATACCAGGACATGGCAACTCATGTGTCAACTAACATATACCTTCCCTTACAGTTTATACAATTACTACCGTTTTAATAAATCAGAAATATGAAGGTGCAGAAAACAAGCTTGCCTTGATTGAGTCATTAAAGCACTCTTACTTCGGGTCAGCCTTCTTTATGCGGATCTGGTTACAGGTATGCGGCTGTTAAACGTTCCCTCTGCTTTATCAATTGCGAGTTCTCGTCTGCCTGCTAAGTCCACTAGCCGTTAAAATACGGATCGTCCAGACTACTCTGCGCGCGGGGAACAAAGATTGAAAAGCTCTTCCGTTCCGACTATTACAGTCGAAATCCAACCAGGACATTTATAACACCAACCATACCAAAAAATAACATCATAGATGTCATGCTGGTGCAGCAGTTGATTCTTGGAATCACAAATATCCAAATTCAGGAATGCCAACGTTCCGAAGACGCTACAAATTGAGCTGGTATAAGTATGTGGAATTAGCTCACCTCAGAACATGTACGGTCGAACGGTTACGATGTTTCGCTACCCAAGCAGACATACCGGAGGCTGCCGAGATCCATCGCTTGTCAACCAAATCCCGATTCCCACAAAAATGCTTCCACTGTGGCAGCCTACAGCATAAGGCCAATTTTGCCAAGTGCCCTGCTTTAGAAATGGGTTGTAAAATCTGCGGTAAGCGTGGACATTTCGTCCTCTGTTTTCGTTCAGTACGGATTTCTCATTTGCTTCCAGTCGATTCCGTTAGTAGTCAGCAGTTACAGTCAGCTGAAAAGTATGTTCCATCGATAAAAGAGGTACCATTTATCACTATATTTTCCCTTGACCAGAGCCCAAACTTCCTACGTCTGACATTTGTACGGTTACAGTTATTGAACGCGATAGAACAACGCATGTTGAGGTGGAACTTGATTCAGCCTCGCCTATTATTATACTATCCGGTAATTTTAAGGACAGTCACCTACACGACATGCACAAACATTCTTCAGCTTATGTATGTGACAGTCATACAAAGGCTCTGGTAAAAATACGAAGATTTTGTTACTTGTGGTTGTTAAATCATCAGATGCTGCGTACAGCACTCGCGTTCGAAGAATCTATCACTCGGCGTGACAAACGAGTGTCACCAAACTATAAACAAGCGCCTTGAGACCTGTTGCCGTTAGATCGCGTTTCACTGTGCCACTAAGATACCTGTTCCATTGTACCAGACAGTCGTGGGAATTAAGCGCTATTAAAGTTACTCGTCCTCTGATTCTGGTAGACTTTTGCAGCTAGACTGCGGATAGCAGCATACGGTCTGTTATTTTTGGCTGTGTTGACGGGAGCATTTTGTCTTGCATTGATTTGTCCATTAGAAGTATTTCGTGGAACGTTAAGTGCCAAGCTGTTTAATTTCTGAGTCTGAATTTTTCAACCCGAAAAGCTTGTGTTTTGACTGCTTGGTCTCCGCCAACTTGCTATCGCCAGTTTCTCCAGCAGTTGTTCGCCAGCTCGTTTTCGAATTATTACCAATGCTGAAGCAATTACCCTGTGGTACATGTTCCAAGATAGTCGGATAACATGCAAGTGCCCTCATGTGTGTTTTGTGTCAAGTTAAATACTACATTTCATGTCTTAGGTCATAGTTTGAGCATTTTCATCGTCCTCGTGAAATTCAACACGATCTCGTATAAACTTTAGGTGAAAATTGAAGAAACAAGATACAACTAAGAATAGTAAAGCCGACGTGTATGCTTCATCGTTCCGTTACGAACAACTCTGTGTGTTTGGCCCAACAACCTAACCCGA